AGATTGTCGGAATAGGTTCGGAATATAAAAAAAACTTTCGTATATTGAGGTTGGTGAATTAGGAAAATCACTAATTAGTAGTGCATACCTATTGAATGCTTAATGAAGTATAGACACAATACAAGGTTGTTAGGTCGAGAAATGCTGTATACATCCTGTTCGGCGCTTAAACAAATCCACATCAGTTGATCGCACGGATATTGGTACAACCGTTCGGGTATCCGCAGACGGACGGACGCAGCCTGAATCGAGTCGGATCCAAAGAGTTTATCCTCAGAGAGGGTAATCGCTACACCCACTCCGCCATTACCAAGAAGATCGTGTTGCTGATCGGTGTACTTTGCAACCGGTAGATCTTCACGATCGAGGCCCGCCGGAACGTTCACGGTGGGTGATGTACGGTCAACCAGTTCATAGGATAATTGATCTCCTCCTGCACCAGTCTTCATTTCTGTACCTGGCACAATTTCATGGTCATCAAATCGTTTCGCAAAGCATAACGGAGCGAAGAACCTGTTCGCACGCATCCTCCGATCGATAATATACATCATAACCACGAGGTTCTGGACGCTGTCTTCGTTCGATCAGTCGTGCCAGCACACTAATGAATAATGTGATTTGATCATTCGTTTAATTGCGTACTAATGATTGTGAGCACTGAACACGCGTTACTACGCACGACGGAGAATCGCACATTTAGTGTCAAGAAATCAGATCCGAAGATCACTTCAAAGTGCCGGAAAAGGCGAGATCGCAACTGACTGGGGCGCTGCCGGTTCATTCCGAGTGGTAGTGAAACATGAATCGGCCACATAGTTATTACCGTAAGAACCGTCCGTTATTAAGTGGGTGACCTGAGCACGACGCCACCAGGGTTGTTTCCGTTCGACTGCAGACTATCGTCTAACTGTGGAAACGGCAGAACGTGACGTAAGTACCCGTGATAAACCAGTGTCCATTAATCGCTCCACATCTGGTGACTGTTTACAACCTGTTCGATGATCAATTCTGCTGATCACCAATGCTTACTGCCAGTCAAGAATAGCACGACTTCAGATTAACGGCGGACGGATTTGTGGTCTCGCGCTCGGAGTAAGACATCTCTCCATCATCAGTGTTGATCGCATCTGGTTAGGCGATGGACCAGACTGTCCCTTAACTGATGATCCAGCAGACATTTTTTCGTCCATCGAAGCCATCTACTCTATGGAGGCTACTTTAAATCCTTAGCCTTTGCTAATATGTATTCACATCGGCCGAACTCGCTATTTTGTGCTATTCTTGATCTCCCACGGACGGTACTCTTCCATCCAAGAGAAAACCTCGGGGTACTCATGATTTGAAGACAAACCGTTCACTGGATCTCAAGCACATCCTCAACTAAGAAATTGGAGGTGTGGCAAGGTGTGACGTAATCCCCCTCTAGCGAATGTCCCAACTTGTACATTTGTGACTGAGACACGTGTGGTCAAGGACATCGAGTTGGGTTAGAGAGGGGTGAGTGTACTGCCACAATACTTCAATACAAACATCAGACAGATAAGGATCAAGCGGTGCTTAAACCTGTCACCGTTATCGAACTCGGCAGAGGCGGTTCCATAAGAACGTGGTCCTCCATACTCGAATGAACAAAGTTGACAGTATTGACAGAAAATTTAACACCATTAGGCTTTTAAAGGACCCGTCTGCTCACTGGATAAAAGGGCGTACAACCGTGAGAAGCTCCTTTTCCGCCGTTTGGGATCCGGGATCCCAATTCAACACAAGTAAGCTTTTGAAGGACGCGTCTGCCCACTAGGTAAAGAGATGGGAGAAGTCCAAAAAGCGGGCGCGCAATTGTGAGAAGTTCCTTTTCCGCCGTTTGGGATCCGGGATCCAAAAGTTTTCCAGAAGCATTTTTCCGGTCTATCGGCACTCGGTGACTAGCAGAATGTATGTCACAACATACAGGGATCTCCACACCATGAAGAAGTGAAACGACCCTCAGTTCACCACGAACCGTGACATTTATGCAACTGCGCGAAAGAACGAATGCACTTATTGGACACTTGATCTATGATGGATTGATGCGGTTCGATTTGGAAATTCGGTGTTCAGAAACGGCATTCTGACCGAAATATTACACCATCAACGAAGATCATTGGACTCCTAGCACGTAGAGCCCGCTGGTATCGCAAAAAATGTGGAAACAGTGCCAAAGACTCCGGTAGTCTTGGCATGACAAACGACTGATGGGTGAATACCAAGGGCGGAGCAACTCACTTGTGATCTACCCTTTTGAGGAGCGAAATAGCAATTCAGGAAACCAGAAAGCGTCCTGAAGGTCTGATGAATTGTTCTCAGGGGATCTCTTGTCTGTAGGCGGGGAAGGTAGCGTGTTCCAGTGTGCGCCAACTTCCCTCTCCGGAAACTGCGGCGAAGCTATAACAAAGCGCTTTTTGTTGGTGGATGGGTTCGAAAAAACTCAGTTCCTTATGCTATGTAAATAGTTATCCTTTTGGTAGTTCTAAATAGGTCGGGTTCTAAACGTCTATGAATGGAGATCTCGTCCTGTAGATGAAGGCAATCTATGCTGATAGGCCGAGAAGCACCGTATAGTTGTTTCATCCTTGGTGGGAATTAACAGCACTGTGCAACTTACAAAATTCTAGTTTCTGACCCGAGATCGCCAGGTTGGTAGTTTGGACATCTAACCACTCAAGTGGGAGCTAGTCATACTTCCTTCGGGTAGCATGGCATTTGGACATTGGTTACCTCCAACCAACTGTACAGTGTAATGACTGCATTCGGATTCACTTGGGCCGATATCGGTGCCGAGTTATCAGTGAGATGTCGCGAACACTCACACTTTGTTGTCAAACCAAATGTCCTTTTGATTGACTGATCATCGGGACATCCTGAACGGAATTTCTTGAAACCCAACCAACATTCAGCAGTCCGAAGCAGATAATGAGCAGCGTTGCTCACTGTGTTCCTTACTTAATACAATGGATAAGAGTGCGAGGAATGTAGTTATGCTTTGCCTGTGACCATGGATGGGCCGATCGAATAAAATAATCGAATTACGGTACATTTCGGTTTACCCCTGAATCACGGGATTCACATCACGTGCTCACCGGTTGCAACTTCATTGTCGGTTAGATCGAGAGGTTGAATAATACCACCGCAGTTTCAATTTGCGAATGGAGCTGGTGTGCACCGTTTCATCCTTGTTGCGCAGTAGTAGCGGTGCGCATTTTATGTATCCTTGAAGAGTTTCGAATATACAATATTCTGGTCAGCAGCTGAACACGACGAGACTCAAACGTGAGCACTTGGACAGAAAAGTTAACACCGGCTGATTATATTATGTGGTCTGTTGTGGACCGACTCTTCGAGTGACGGCTTCACAGACGGAAGACATACACAGCCTCCTTCATTCTATGAGGTTAGCGATGAAAGACGACCCACTAGGCGGTCCTGATTGAGAGTCATCATTAACGCGGCGAGTACCAGCACTACAGAGCACAAAATGATGAGGTTACCAAGTATGGGGGGCATGGAATACCATGCCACGTTTGAAAATGAACTGATGACTTCAACTCAACGTCATATTTGCTAGGCGTAACACGCTACAAATTCTATAATTCACGCGACCCTGATACTTAGAAAGCAGGCACATCATCTATACGTGACATACTACTCATAAGGTTGCTGAAAACACCGACAACAACCATGGGATTGGCGTGTTACGTCTAGACAACAGCATATTCCGTTGAATCGGATCACCACAAACGAGAGATTCAGTTGGTTTTAGTTGAGTTTCCTATCGAAACCAAATTCGTATTGGGCGAGATGGCCCAAGTGGTTAGAGCGCGAACTTACTGACCGGAAGGTCCGTGGTTCGAACCTAACCTCTGCCACTCGACTTCCCCTGTCTAGGCTTGGGCAACTTGGCAGTATCCCAGCCCTCATGCTTCCTCCGAGTGGCATGGCAGCTAGGCACCGGGTGTTACAGCTGAACGAATTCTTCGAAAAAATTCGTATGCACCAGAGTATTTATTAATACCTTGTTGTATTCATCCTGTCGCAAATTTACTCAGAGATATGGAGTAAGATGGAATATGACCGCTTTGTTATTGAATAACTTTCAAACGGCCACGCCGATTCAAAGATCTTCCGAGGCATAAAAGGGCAAAATGCCATTTTCACTATCCCCTGTGCTCACAAAACCGAAACGTTATAAGGACGACAGGTTAACTTGCGAAAAAATACCGCTGCTTGCATTCGCTGTGGATCGTCACTGTACGACGCACTAATTGTCCTTCAGAGCTGCGGTAATAACAGTCGTTCAGCTGTAAAACCCAAACAGAGCAGAAAGACTTGGAAACTGAGATGGAGAGATCGGGTTCGAACCACGGACCTTCCGGTCAGTAATTTCGCGCCCACTAAGCTACCTCGGGCTGTGTGGTGATCAAGGTAGACAGTATCTACACAGGAGAGTAGAATTGATGCACCAGATACGGACGGCCTTTGAAAACGTTTCAAATAAACGCACCACGGTGAAATCCGATTGGTCAGCGAAGGAACAACAAGACCAGACAACCCGTAGGCATGTCGGGTTCGAAAAATTTGATTGAAATTCAGATAGATACAGGAAAAAATCACGATACGCGATCGAAAGCCATCGCCTGTGAACACATATAGATAAAAAAATAGTCGTTGTCTAGCGCGAAAAGTTAGGACAAATGATCCGGTACCGGAAAAGTACAACCACAGCAGGCCTGGGTCTGAAAATAGCTAAATATGTACAATATCATCACCAAGAGCAATGAATGGGATAGTATAGTGGTCATCCCATAACCCTTTCGTAATCGATTAAAAGGAATCAATATTATCTGTCCAGAACAGGTCATGGAGGATGCGAGGAATGGGGACAAATTTGATACATTAGTGAAAGACATTGAGGGTTTGGTGTGCACATGGGCGCAGGTTGGTCCACGTGGTGCGAGGGAGCAGAAATGAATGGGTTTTTTGAAGTGATTTACAAGACAAGAGATGGAATTCAATGTGCTATTTACACTGAACAGCTGGGTTGAGGCATTCGGAGTTGATTGATGCTACCGGTGCACATGTTGGGACTTGGACTTGGCAACCGAGTTGGATTGACACAAGGGTTCATTTTTCCAACGAGCATAAAACGAAGGAAATTTATCCTTGGAAACCTTACCGTCTGCATCGTTAAGAGTGGAGCTCCGTCGCACGGACAAAACAGTTGAGCTAGAGGTGTCGGATGACTGACGAACGGAATTCGCCGTGGAGTTCTGAGGGCTGCTCACTATTCGGGAGACCCGGTAAACGGGTAGAGCCCCGGCAGGGCCAGGTTTTTCGCGCGTTTCTGCGGTCCCATTGACCATAGTTTGTTTTGTGGGACTGTAACCCATCGAATCGCTTGTCGAATTCTGACTAGCAGACATTGTAGAATTGGCAGACCGTAGAGTTGACTCATTGCTTCTAGCGGACAAATTACGTCCAACCGAAGCTGAGCGTCTATCCCTGGGTACATTCAACGGAGCCGCGGGTACCGAAGGCCTGTAGGATGGTGGTGGTGGAGAGCTGGATTTAGTGGATTCGGGGTCCGAAAAATCGTGTTGTGAGGACTTCGGGACTGCGGCGCGGACTCGCTTCGGTTGGTAAGCGTTATCTTCAGAATTGTCATCATTGCTGTCCGAAGCTGTCCGATATAGACGCGCTTTTTTCCGTTTCGTTCGTTCTTGCTTGCCTTGGAGATCCACTGGGGATGAGCTCCGAGCAGTTGTGTAGGTCGGTGCCAAGCTTTTACTGCGACGTCGGTTTACCGGAGGTGAAGGGCTAGAAGGTGGGTATTCGGGGGAAAAGGTGTCGGAGGGATGCATTCCACCATTTTCGGTTGGCGTGCTGGTCACACAACCTTCTGACGGGTCAAGTGGTTTGATACTTTGTTTACAGCTGGACTGCTGAACTTCACCGACCTCTCTTGGTTTGACCTTCGTGGAATGGTGAGATTCAGCATCGCGGATGTTTCTGTGTACATCATGCTTGATATCCTCGTTTTCTTTCAGTTGCAAGTCGCGCTTACTAGGAACCCGCATGTTGCGCGGTTTCTTTTGCTTGACGGACAACGTTGCACCGCGGTCTGAAAGTGAGCTGGGCTCGTTATTCATCGAGGAGGCGACAGACTCGGAATCCACATCCGTATTGGTCGCCGTGCTGGGAGTGAAGCTCATAATAGGTGGGTTGTTATTGTCCCAGAGTCTATGGTCATCTGACATGACGAGCTGGCGTTTTCGTACCTTTTTCTCTTTGGACCCTGGATTCCCCTGCCCATTCAACTCATTCTTTTGTATATGCACTGGAGTTGAGGATGCCTTTACAGCCTCATCGGGATCCCGTGACACGGATCCACTGATTTCACCAGGAACAGATTTCACTGGCTGAACTGCCGGTTTTCGCTTTGAACGACTCTTGTGGGATTTCGATAGCGATGAGTTTTCCGTGAAATTTTCGTTTTTCGAAAGAATATTGACCTCAAACGGTTTCTTGTCAGCTGGTGGTGGCGGTTTGATCGTGCCAATCTCGGAATCTGATACAGGCCGGAGTCTGACAGAGTCGGAAGATGGTGATGCTGCCTCAGAGAGAGTGGATTTCAATTGCCCCAGTATTACTTCATGAACTTTCACGATTCCGTCGATGAAGCGCAACAGGGTTCCAGTGCGTGTTTGCCATCCGCTTAGGTGAGCTCCACCCACGGTACGTGCAATATCTCCATCAATTTTTTCTGTTAGTCTGACAGACCCATCTGGACGGTGGGAATCTGACAACCATGGAGGAACTTCGGCAGCGAGCTTCTCGGCTTCTTCCCAGTCAACTGTTGCCTGGCGAACCATTCCCTGCAACTGTATCAGTCGCCGTAGCCGCTGCAGAGTTTCGACTGACATATTCATCGAAGTGGCTGAAAGCGGAATCAAAACAACATGCGTGAGAGCAAACAAACAGGACTTGCGAGAATGAATAACAAAGGAGGTTACGATCCAAACTGTCGTGTTTGCCGAATTACTTGACGTAACTTGTTGAAACTGTAAATTTGGAAGACTGAGGAACATCAGAAGCTCAGGTTACCCAACTGCCGGCTTTGTGGCAATCGCTTCATCACCAATCAGTCAACGAGACGCTATTCAGGCGTAATTGTTCGTGGCGCATTAGGAACGTCAGAGTGGTACAGAAAGTTGATCAAGTTACCTTGTTTGCGACACGCATGATAGGAGGCTAGCATTCACCTGAAGAGGTACTGTCCTCCCCGATGGGGAAAACTTGGGGGGAAGGAGGTCATGACAAGGCAACGCGAAACAAGAGCTGCTGCAGTAAAACGGAGTGATATGGAATCTTCTTGATTTTCCACGGCTGAGACCCCAAGCTGTACGTAACCGATCCAAACGACAAGCATGCTAGGGAGTGATAGCTTCCCAGACAGGTGCTGAGTTCGTGTTGCGCAAAGGCTACTGAATCAGTCGCGGTGATGGCCCCCGAAATTATGCACAGATGTATCTATATCACGTTGTTCATGGCCGTCTGTCCGAGAAGACTAATTTCCCACCTTCCCGTCACTTTTTACTCTCTATTAGGGGACTCTTTTCTGCCGGTTGAGTAGCGATTGGTTTCGGCATTCACTTCCGATGGAATGGTATTGACGACGATGGTGTAGTTCCTATGGTAGCTTGTGACAACACAAAAGCCAGGATTAACCTCTCACCAGGAACGGTTAGAGTTTGTGTCGAACGAGATCAAGCCAAAACGTGGGTCCGGTGGACTTGGTGAAAAGTTCACTGATTACTCCGAATAAGATGAACTACTTCATTCTCGAAAAGTTTGGTGGCAATCGGTAGATTTATTGCTGGGCAACGTTTCGCTTTTGACACAAAAGCTTCGTCAGGCCAAGTGACTAGGTTCCGAGGTTGGTCGAGATTTAAAGCGGAAGGAGAACCAATCAGCTAATCCAAGCTAAATCTCTGTTGGGTGTCGGCCGAGGGATTTTAGTGTGTTAGAGTGGTTGAACCAGTGTTGTTGGGTCGGTGGGGAAACCTACATGCGTTTGGGTCCAGCCCAGGGTCTAGTTCTTCTGGGTCGGTTCATTTAATGGTTCCTCTTGAACTTCGTTTGAACCTTATGTCAGTCTCTGTGGGTGAGCCAGTGCTAAGATAGTTGTGTAAGAGGGATGCTGTGACCTTTGGTCGGTTGGGGTTTCCACCCTCACCCCCCGGTTTTTTCTAATGACCCTAAGTGGATTGACAAGCACACCGTCACGTGTCAACTCGGCTTATCTAAGACCGCTTTCCATATACCCGCTAGCTCCACACCCTCAATTCTATTCACGCTGTTGTGATCTAAACGCCTGCGCATGTGCAGCAGCTTTTCATGGAGAAACACACCAATGACGTAATTGGGAATGGATCATACTGTGTCCATACGATGCAACAGTGACCAGTTCCGGTTGACAAGCCACCGCTCAGCGAGGTCACATGCACAGTTCAATGTTTCGGTCTAGGCTGCCGAAAGAAATTACCAAACACACAGGACTCACTTTGTGAGTAGTATAACTGACGATGAGGCTTGCAACGCCATGATAACTTCAAATAAATAGCATTTCAATTTGAAGGTGTATCATAACCAACAGGAAGTTCACTTCAGGGCTAAATTCAGTGCACAGACTAGCTTGTTTATGTTGAAAAAAATCGTTCAACTGCAGCGCCCTTTTGATGCCTAACTGCCACGTCACCAGGAGAAAGAACGAGGGCTCGGATACTACCAGGTTGCCCAAGCCTAGACAGGGGAAGTCGAGTGACAGGGGTCGGGTTCGAACCACGGACATTCCGGTCAGTGAATTCGAACTCTAACCACTTGGGCCATCTCGCCCTTGTCTATGTTCAAAACAGGCTGAGTTACCGCCTACACAAAAGTGCTTAGTTCTCTGTGCCAAAATCTGTATGGCGTACATCGGACGGCCCAAGTGAACTGGCAGAGAAGAATAAAGGTTGTCGAAAGCTTGCAGACATCCAGCTTTCCAGGATGCAGCCTAAATGACTCTCTCTCTGCCTAGATGGAGACGCCCCAGATAGAGGTCGGTACCAGATCGAAAGTGTCGTACCACTATGGTGCCATCCGGTTAGACCATCAGCAAATGTAGATCAAAGTAGCATACTTTGACACGTGGTCTCTCACGAGGGAGAATATTATTAACCGAAAACAGCTTTAACAGACTAGTCAGAGGCGGTGGTGATGGAAACCTGTCGCTAGCTATCTGCTATGCAGCTAGAATCATATTTCAGGCATATAGCAGCATAGCATGGAACATAAATCATCATCGACAGCATGACATCATCAGTGTTCAACACCGATGCATCACTGCAGTACAACCATGATTTATTTGAAAGCCTTATTGTAAGGAAAAGAATAAGGGTGGAAGGGGAAGGGACAATGGCTAGGCATACGTAACACATGTCCCAACCAACGCAGCTTCTGGTGTTGGAC